TCTTTCCTGTTTATCCCAATTAAAAGGGAACCCATATACTGAGCCCCTCTCCGTTTGTTTTTTTTCCTAAGAGAATGGCGGGGGTTTCTCAGAGAAAATTTGCAGGCCCGTAGTATATTCTTTGGTTCAAAAACAACAGAATTCTGGTTTTCAAAAGGAGTTGAGAAAAGATTAGAAACATAAAAAAAAACCAGAAGAGATTACAAATATAGGCCTCCCTTCAATTTTTTTATGTTTCTCTTTTCAGAATGGGTGAATGTACTATGCTGCATTGTTGTTATTATTATTCTACTATGTCCTTTCTTATTCTGTTGTGATTATTTTAAAACAGTATAGGGAAGTAATATATTATTTTAACCTGAGCAGGTAAAAATTGCCGGAAACACTGGATCTGTTTCAACTATTTATTACAATCAGTTATTTCGATTTGCAATAGTTTCAAATATTAACACACATTTTCTCTTATTACTCTTCAAATGTACTTTGAAAGTATACCAATAAAATGTTTGTGCACCTTCGTATAAATATTTCTAGAAAATGATGGGTGGAAATAATGCCTTTTGGTGTAATTCTGATATCTTTATGCTACTTCGATTTTACCTTTAAAATAATTAATTCTTCTCTATTTACTTATAACAAAGAGATAATGAAAATAGTGTTAAGGGTTCATATTTGCATTCTTTAGATCTATATTCTGATTTAATTGAATTCCATTATCCAGTAGAAATCACTTTCAAATCCATTAATCTTGATGGGAAGATTAATACGTATTAGGTAGGAAATAGGTAAACTGTGTAGGTGAATTGTGCCAATATATGACTATTTTGTAGAAATACATGAAAGGTGCAAATACTGCCTAAATACAACTATTTTGTTTTATAGATAATATTTTTCAAATGTTTTTCCAATTTCTCTTGAACAAATGCTTTATAGGTACCCCATGTGCCACTTAAGATTTGCTTGCTTATTATCAAATAATTTCACTAGAATATAACAGTAGGCATGTTTTCTCAAATAACTGTGGAAAAAAAATGTAGTGATAGTAATATGTTAGTAATTGCTATCAAGGTGATTTTAAGGCAGTCAGGTTAGGTGATTTTTATTTCACTGGAAATATATTAGAAACTGCGGGGGAAGGAATACTAGCTTTTTCTAGTTTTGTCCGAGATTTCTTTCAACAGTTTTCTTTAACACTTCTTTCATTAATTTCACCTTTTAAAATTGTCTGTCTTTCTTTCTTTCTTTCTTTCTTTCTTTCTTTCTTTCTTTCTTTCTTTCTTTCTTTCTTTCTTTCTTTCTTTTCTTTTCTTTTCTTTTCTTTTCTTTTTCTTTCTTTTTCTTTCCTTCTTTTTCTCTCCCTCCCTCCCTCCTGGTATATGAGATAGAGACTGATGAATGTGGTTTTGCTTGAGGCATTGAAGAGTGGGATGGGAGGGAGAAAGGAGGTGGCAATCTGAATTCACACTTAAAAATCTGCAGCCGGAATATAGCTCTGTCGGCAACTCCAGCCGTCCACATTTCACATTTAGAAAATGCACCAATGTCCTGGTGCTTAGCCAAGAGAAAAAGTGAGAGGTTAGTAAGCCTATTCTTCAAAATAGATCCCTTTCCATGGAAATACTAGCGAGTCCTGAAGGCTGTGATTCTAGGCCTGCTTCCCGGAGAGTAAGACTCATTAAATGCAGCAGGATCACCCTCAGATTAGGCCAGCACAGGATGACAATTCACAGGATGGCTGTGTGACAATTCTTGGATAATTCTTTGTCCTGGGTCTCCTCTGCAATCCTTGATGGAAAGCACCCCTTCCCGCACACAAATGCTTGTGGCGGTGAAAGAGATTTCCCAGCCTGCCCCCAACTTTAATCTCTGCTCTTTGCTTCACCTTCTAGTCTTTCCAGCTCAGGTTGCTTAAGCTGATCTGGATCTGCTGGGGTCTAGAAGATGATGAGGAAAGGAAGGATCTGGGGAAGGATGACAATAGGCATTGGTTGAACGTGTTGCAACCTGGGGTCCCCAGAAGCAGAAGTTTTAGTAGTTGGAACATGCATTGGTGCATGTAGGAGGTTGGTAGCCCCTGGATCTCACTCTAGCTTCTGTTGTTGGATGAGTAGGAATTTTGTCCAAATCTACAATGTATGCACAGCTCAGTCAGTTTCTTGATCATAGGTCCTTTTCCAAAGCCATGAGTTTGTCTTATAAAAAGGAAGTAATGAACAAAAGAGAAACTTCTGAGACTCTTTGGCACAGAATGGTCAAAGTCTGTCTGTACACATTTGATTTATAGGTCACCAGGTAGACATACTGTACTATTCTAGGTACATTTGAGTTTTTCTCTTGCACTTTCTCTCTTTGGTTTGATCTCAAACCCATATTATATGTGGATTTGCACAAGACTACACTAAAGCATGATAATACATTTTATGATACAGTGTGTTGTTAGAACTCAGCTGTTGTTTTAGCATGGTTATATAAAACAGGCAATTATGTTACGCAAATATTTGCTTTAGCATAGTATGTATGTACATGCATAGTAATATGCACATACAATTTGTTTTGTTAACCTGTATATTGTATATTGTGGGAATGCAGTCCATAAGCAACAACTTATTTGCTTTAAAATAGTATTTTTAAATGGTTAAACTGGCTATAGCTGTTTTAATCATTGTTTTATATAAAACTGTCACACATTAGTGTAATTAGAAAAAAGATCACAAATAGAGTTTTATGGCTGAGTGTCTAGGATAGATCAGGATGATGAGAATTGCACTTCGGTATCTCCAGAGGGCATAAATTTGGGGTGTGTGTGTGTGTGTGTGTGTGTGTGTGATTTAAGTTAAGAATAGACTTGAGATCTTATAGTTGTGTACTCACCAAGATTAGGGACAAATTTTTAATATCCCTGTAATGGCAGCTCTGATGGAAATGAAGCGTTGCCATTTTTTGTCTTATTTAGAAAATTCCACTTAGTGACGGTGTGTGTGTGTGTGTGTGTGTGTACACGTGCATGCAATGTATTTTTACATGCAGAGTTAACTGATCTTTGTAAACAACACTCAATTCTTTCTGTTCTTCATCATTTACTTAGAGTAGCCACAGACCATTAAGTCCTAGGCAACAGTGTAGTCAACTATCATGGCTATGTATGTCAGTAGTGTTCTTGCCAAAATGCTAAATGCTAAAATTTTGGGGATGTGCAACTAAATATATACTCAGCAATGCATTTTTGTGTGTGTTTTTTAAACCAGGCCAGCCTCAATTTACATTGAGACATAAACGTTTTCAAATAATTTATCAGGACAACTGGCAGGGCAAGCCTTGTTCTCATCTGGAAATGAACAAGCTTACTTTGTTCCTGCATCAACAGAAATTAGAACAGCCTTTCCCAGCCTGCTGCTCTCTAGATATGAATATTATTAACTGAATATTTTTTAAGTTGAAGTCCAATACATCTAGCAAGTTTCAAATTGGGAAAGGCTGTGTTGAAAGGCTGCATTTCCTTCTGTTGATGCAGGCACAAACATTTCTTCCTATTCTGATATTTTTAGCTGTTTATGAATTCATTTGGTGAGAACTTTTATTGATACGTTTGTGTGAAAATTAATGCTGCTATGTGTATATGTTGCAAGCATTTGCATGCAATAATTGATCCTGTAAATTATTCCTGAATATGGTTTTGCAGGAATCCAGATCACGATCACAGTCTTAGCCGCTGGAACTTATATTTATGGTGTAAATTCCTGCATTTTGAATCTCTGAGATATTTTCAAATTTTCAACTAGAAATATTTTTTGAAGAAAAAAACACTGCTGATCAATCATTTGTAGAACTTATTTCCGTTATTCTGATATCCACAAAGCATTGAACTTCTTCTGAAGTGTATTTATTCACATTATCTAGGATTTCTGGAGATGTAGTTTAATATATCTGGAAGCCACCAAATGGGAAAAAACCCTAACAGTAGTATACAACTGACTTCACCATTACTCATCCTTATGCCCAACTTTTTTCATTTTCCTGCATGAATAAGTTAGATAATGTTACTATCACTCCTGATTTTTCTCTCCCTCTCTGCTTAGCAGGTAGAAAATTTGACCTTAGCTTAGAAACTAATAAGGATTGGAGCAGATTAACTGCATGATTGTGTCCATGTAGTCACTAGGATCTCAGCTCCTTCAAAATTCCACTTCCCATTTCCTCATTCAAATCCAGATTTTGAATCTGCTTAATGTGATTTGATCAAATAATAGCCTTGGGTTTAACTAAAACAAAAAGAGTAAGTTATCTGAAGGAAAAGAATTGATTTCACAAGGAGCATTTGGTTAAGGAGTACAGGTAGTTCTTGACTTACAACAGCTCATTTAGTGACCATTCAAAGTTACAATAGCACTGAAAAAAGTGACAACTGTTGCAGCTTGGCAACTGACTCATATTTATGACGGTTGCAGCATCCCAAGGTCATGTGATCACCTTTTGTGACCTAATGAGCAAAGTCAATGGGGAAGCCAGATTCACTTAACGACCTTGTCACTAACTTAACAACTGCAGTGACTCATTTAGCAACTGAGGCAAGGAATGTTGTAAAGTCACTTAACAAACATCTCACTTAACAGCAGAAAGTTTGGGCTCAATTATGGTTATAAGTCAAGGACTACCTGTATCTATCTCTAACCTCTTCCCCAAGGTCACTTAAAATACTTTTAATGGGGAGGCTTTTCTGCTTTCTTTTTCTCTTTTTTTCATTCTGGATACAGTCTCATTTTAGTTTTACCTCTGTTGTAGGTGTGAACTGAAAATTTGAAGATTCTGCCACTCCCGATGGCTCAGATAAGTCCGGAAAGATCTGAAGTGGAACCTAGGCAGTTCTGTTAGGGATTTTTCCTGGATTGGAAATCATCCTCGCTGGATCTGAGTCAGAACTGCATGGTCCATCCCGCCCTTTGTGGAGGAAGGTGCCTTCATACTTGCCTTCAAACCTGGATCTCTGGAGATAACTTGTCCGTGTGGTTGAGTTGCAAATCAAGGCCCAATCTGCACCCTCAGAGATGTACCAGAGTTTAGCAATGGCAGCCAACCATGGCCCACCAGCATATGAAGGGACCAGTAGTTTTATGCACACCGCAGCTGCTGCTTCTCCTGTCTACATACCAACCACAAGGGTCACTACCATGATCCCCAGCCTGCCTTACCTCCAAGGGAGTGGTTCATCCCAGCAAGGCAGCCCAGTATCCAGTCACTCCATTTGGACTCAGCCTGGAGCTGAGAGTGTTGCTTACAACCCTGGATCTTCTCATCCATCAGTATCTCCAAGGTTCTCCTTTGCTACCAGCACCCCCATCCCAGCAACTACTTCCAGAGAAGCATCTGCTTATAGCAGCTCTCTTAGTATCTCGGCCAATAGCAGGGACCAGTATGCTCGGAGTTTCAGTGGCTCCTATTCCAGTCCATATCCAGCAAGTTATATGACCCCAGAATTGGGCACCAGTTGGACTTCATCTCCCTTTGATAGCCCCATGCTCCACAACCTTCAGAATCGGAGTACTCCAGGAGCTTCAAGGCACACCAATATAGGTAAGAATAAATCTTTTAAACTTTATCATACCAAGAACGGTCATAGTATTTTCAGTCTGGGATGGATTACATGATATTGATTAAATTTTAAAAGATAAGCAATACTAGTCAGTGAAGTTAGCAATTTAGCATATATAGATTATCAACAAAACACATTTTTTTCACATTTTGTCAGTGAGGTAGTCTTTTGAGGATCTTTTTTCCAGAAATGTCATGTGACAATTCTCTGACTTCCTTGAATGGGAATTCATTTAGCAGCTATCCTAAACAAAAGAACTCAGGGAAATAGTGCTTACAATTTCTTCATCATCAGCTTTAGAACCCAGCACTATTGGTCCCAATAATATAAATGTTAAATGTGTCTTTTAAATGGAAGCAAGCCCAAGAATCAACAGTATTGTGACCTGAGATTACAGTTAGGGAAATTCTGTAACTTCCAATTCCACATAGTTCTTGTTTTTACTCTAATATTATAATTTACTGCACTGGTGAACTGCTTCGTTCCATCGCAATTGCAGTACTGTCACATTGTATCTAGAAGGAAGTCCTTATGAATATATTGGGAATTGTTTCTGGTCATGTCTTGTTGTCCCTATGATCTTCCTCCATCCTATAAATCTGAACTGAAAAGGGCCTGCTATTTGCTTAGCTTAGGGGTAAAATTAGCAAAAGACTCATAGCTATGTTTATTACTTTGTATTATTTGAAGCAGAAGGAGGGCGTTGGCTAACCTTTGAGGTCTTTGCAACATAAAGCAATTTTTAATCTACTATTAAAAGTGTATTGCAACTTTAAAGCTTTAGTTTGTGTGGATTAAACAATTAAGGCTCAAAGTACTATCCTGTACAGTATACTTTGTTAGCACTACAAATATTGCAGGTTGTTTTGAGAAAGGCATGTCCTTTGGGACAGTGTTTCTCAACTTTGGCAACTTTAAAAGGTGTAGACTTCAAATCTAGAACCTCCCCAGCTAGCCAAGGATGAGAAACAATGCTTTGGAACATATACACTGCCTGTTCAGCTGTAAATAAGTTAAAGAGCTTCGTGTATATTTGCCTAAGAATCATTTAAAAAAAATTAGAAATTATTATACTTACACATTCAGTGAGAAATTGGTAACCTATGGATTGTTGGAAATGCTACCATTCTGACCTCCAAGTCAGCCAGGGCCACTGTGTTTCTTTTTCTTTTCCTTTTTTTGGGGTGGGGGGTGGGGGGACAGATCATCTAATGTTGATTCCCAATAGTATATTTTTCTGCAGAAATTCATTCTATTGATGTTTTAAAAACTGAATACAATGGGTATAAGAACCTTCTTAGAAGAAGCTGGCCACAGGTATAGGTTCTCTGGAAAAAAATTAATTGAAGGTTTTGAGCAATCCATTATTTGGTATGATGTGCTTAGTATTTTGCAAGGGCACCTACCCTTATACTTTTTATATGTAAGTTATGCATACACACACACACACACACACACACACACACACACACACACACATATATTTGTTTTCTTAAGTTTTCACGGGTACTTACATGTATGGTATTCAGCTTCGTTTGGGTATTTTCCCACGTCATTATAGTTGTGCTTTTAAAGATGTAGCAACGTTTAAGCAGAATCTCATCTGCCATCATCAGTCGTCTGTATTGTGTTCGTCTGTGAGTCAGACTTTCACAGCCGTTTCAGTTTTAAACTTGGGGCTAGCCTACTGCTGTGCCAGAATGGTTTTTTCTTCATCGTGATTGGTTGGGAGTCTTGGTCTGTGTTTATTGGTCTTGGAGTTTGCTGAGTTCTGCTTGATTGGTGTTTCTAATATCTTCTGTCTCTTTTGTAGCTTTTTTTGTCTTGATTGGCTGGCAACATTGTGTTCCTGTATTGGAGGCTTTTAGTGCAGCTTGGCTCTGAGTAAATGGACGGCTATCATTTATTAGGAAGCTAGGTTTCATCTGGGTGCCTGGTTGGGGTGTGTTTGAGCTGGAGGTATCAGGGGGGATCTGTTTGTGCCCAGGTGTTTTTGTTTGTGCCCAGATCTGTTTGTGCCCAGGTGTTTGCCACAAACAAAAAAATCTCCACGCCACAAGCCAGGCAAACACCTGGGCACAAACAGATCCCCCCCAATACCTCCAGCTCAACCACACCCCAACCAGGCACCCAGATGAAGCCCGATGATGGTAGATGAGATTCTGCCAAAACGTTGCTACAACTTTAAAAGCACAACTATAATGACGTGGGAAAAAAGCTGAATACTGTGTGTGTGTGTGTGTGTGTGTATACACACACAATACCTGTGAAATCTTGCTGTAATCTAATTTCAACACTCTTTAGTTATGAGATGAGTTATTTTTATTTTACTTTGGTTTCAGTTCAGAGTTATCAAGATTTGCTTGTTGATTAAACACAATTCTAGAACAGAGGGAGTAAATGTAAATCTGAAGTTTAAATTAGCCCACAGTCTACAAGGAAGTATACACAAATTAAAACAGGGTTTTCAAACTATGTTCTGCAGAATCCTAGAGTTCCATGAAAGAGTAAGGGAGAAAAGGAAAGTTCACTCATATGCAGCCAAGGATGGCCAAGGTATAGTAAGGGTTGTTATCTGACATTCAAAAGCTTCACTCTCACAGTTTTAGTGGATCAGGATGAGTAAGTCTGAAAGATAGGCAATAGCAGGGTGAAAACGATTGCCACAATTTTTCCCCTCGGAAAATGCCTTAGCCATGCAGCTCTAGCCATCTTTGGGTGAATGCATATCCTGCCCTTTGTAAAGTCATCCTGTCCCAGCTCTGCCTCCTTCCCCCCTTCCCCTGAAAAAGGTGAAATGGAAGTTTTGGGGTGAATCTGTACGATTCAGATAACTTCAGTATATAAATATGCATGCCTTGATTAGAATGAGCACAATGTTTGGTGCATAAATTTGATTTTTGATTAATTTGATTAATAAATAAATTTCATTTTATTGTCCATTTCCTATAACTAGAGGTTTGCCCCTTGATCAGAATTTCAGGAATTTTATTTTATTTTTTAATTAACAGGATCCATAGCCTAAACAAGTTTGAAAACCTCATAACACCACATAGCAAATTTGTAGCATATTTTATCTTTTGTAATTTAATTAATATGAGTAACATGTTTACATTTTTGCTTTTACTAGTGTAGTATAGTTATTGTATAAAACACTAAATCCTCCTGGACTTTCACTTTATAGAGTTGCAATTTATTATCACTAAGGCCAAAAAATGAATAAATCACCATACCTTTTCACCTCTCTCTCTCTCTCTCCCTCCCTTTCCCCCCTTCCTCTCTTCCGTGGTTCAAGTATTTAGTAATGTTTCTGTGCTCCAATTCACAGAGAAGGAGAGAGGGAAGTGAGGACAAAGAAAAAGGAAGTTAGGATTTTAACACCATTTGTTTAATTAGGTTACCATCCTAATGTATTTCCCAGCCTTTCTGATGTATTGGACTTTGAGTCCCATAATCCTTTTCCAACCTGAGAGCAACAGAATGGGATAGGCTTCTAGAAATACTTTCTTGTGATGATGCAATCAGATTTCCATTAGTTTGCTTTTCTTCTGCTTCTCTTTTGAGAAGGTCAGGAGACAAGATAATTAACTGCCTTTCTGCTTTTTAGAAAGATTATAATAACTCTAAGAGGTTGATTAGATTGAAATAGAAATGACTAAGGGTGGTTCAGGGTTAACCAAAGTTTTGCATCACAAGGTGGAAAGTTGAATCTTAGTTTCCCGAAATTGGCCAGTTATTCTGACCACTAGACCATGTGAGTTCAGTTGAGCCATTCTTTGATTGCTAGTTTTATGTGTGTCTAAATCCATTTGGCTGAGGGATTTTTTCTTCCATCCATGCCCTTCTCTAAAAACGGAATAACATTAAGAATCTAAAATTGGGGCAAAATGTTTATGGATTGGAAGCAATAATTCAAAAGGGTGGAAAGCTCTCATTTTTCTTGTGACCCTTTTTATCGTTACATAGGTCTGTTTTTACATGAATAAACACATTGCACTAAATTTGGTACATTTACCTTATTGTATTTTTAAGATTTGATTCATTTAATTAAATTAGTGTTCCTAAGTATTTTTATTTTATTTATCAGCAGGAGCAGGAATTAGAATGGTTTGCAGAATATGTCAATATAAAAACATAATTTTGAAATAAGTGCAGAAACAATCTGGCAGCTTAGTTAAAACTCAGTATAAAGAAGCATACATTGTCAGCAATTAAACCATACTGAAGTTGCTTAAATCTACGCGGTGGCATGCCTACCGGGCCAAGAAATGATAATGTTGATAGGTGCCAAATGGACATCACAGTTGGCCTCTAAGGTGAACCCTTTGAAAGTACACATGCTGTAAATTGGGAGGAAAGGGGGTGGGTCAAGGCCAGCTTTTCTTTGAAACTTCTCTCTCAATTAAATTTTAGATAGTGGATTGGAGAACTTTACAGTAGTCTGAGTGACACTAAACTACAATTTCAGCTTTTAGTCAGGCTGGTGTTATAGGTGGCTGGACTTTTAGAGATCAGAGCGACACAATACTAGGTAGTGGGGAATATAAACTTGGGGGTGGTGAGATATAATTAGTTCATTTCCTACTTAAGAAACATCTGGTTGGTTATCCCTGGGATAGGGTGCTGGTTTAGATAAGCCTTTTATTTGATCTAATATGCTTCCCTTTATGTTCAGCAATTTTTGCCCAAAGGTGCTGATAGTGTTGGAGATTTAACATGAGTAGAATTTACGGGCTGTGTTTAGCACAATGAAATTCAGATCTGACAAGATTTGGGTTCAGAAACAAATGTAATAGGAAGAATCAATCTAGTTTTTCAATGGAAGATTTTCAAAGAATACTACAATTATAGGCTAGGTTGGAAAATGAACAATGATCTCCGAAGACAAATCATTTCTATATTGCTACCAAGTAAACTACACAGCTGTGCCCACAAAATCACGAGGAATTGAACTTCATTTGAAGATTTTATTCCTTCTCAT